TCTTGACCGCGGCGGTAGCAGTGCTCGCCGCCGTCTCCCAAATACTTCCCCACCCCCACCCCCCGCCTCCTCCACCAGTAGTTATGCCCGTACTCGACATGGAAGAAACACTAGCCGGCGGCTCGGCAGCATTTACCGGGGTGACCGCTGACCTTCCGTCTCTAAGTGTGGGCGTCTTCCCGAGTACTCGATTTGGCTGTAAAATATTTGCCAAGACATTTTGTGGTGTCGAATTGGAGATTGAACGGGTTACTGTACTAGTACAGCGCGGAGTGACGGAGGCTCTGTGCAAGGTTCGGCTGGACAGGGAGGAGCTCAGTCCAGGGACCCGGGACCTTAGAGTTGAGAGTGGCAGACAAGGGTAAGGAGTGTGGTTGCAGGGATAATAGTTAAAAAGGTGTGTTGAAAAACGATGCAACTATCTGCGCGGAGCAAAAAAGGCTTTGCGCGGAAGTGGTGGCGATAGAAGAAAAAAAAAAAAAATACACACTTTCCACTCACGTATTGTGTCACTTCTCCACACTCGGTCACTCACAATCCAACTCACTTTCCTTGCAATTTTTTTTTGGCTGGGCATCGGAGGAGGCCGCCTCTCTCGTGATGCTCAAGTGGGATAAATTTATGATACTGTGGCAGCGACGACCTGCCACTCAACTGGGCTCAAGTGGGGAGGGAAGAGAAGAAAAAAAGAGAGAGAGAGAAAGAGGGCTAAACCGATTCCAAGAACCCGGGGGAAATTTGGGAGTAAACTGTAGTCGGGTATGTTTGCCGTATTCTGTTGGACAGCTTCCTTCATCAGACACCTTCTGGTTGGGTGTGCTGCGTGATCTTTCTATGGAGTGATGAAGCGGAGGAGCTCGAGAGATTGATACATTTTGATCGAATTAAAGACCTCTTGGGGTGCCTATTGCATATTGCCTCTTGATACTGGTGCCGGTATTGGGAAGCCATAGTGTCAACATGCCTGTAGTATTGGTGGGCGAGAGAATACTATATTTTCCGCAGAGGTAGAATTCGCTCTTCTACCTTACCGCAAGGTAGACTAAGGTAGCGGTAACGGTGGTAAGTGATGATAACGATGATGGTGATGATGGGCATGTACCCGAATGGTTATTAATTTATATCACAGGAAGTGATACTATCGTTGTGGAAAGAGATACCCTATCTTTTGATGGCTGCTGGCCTCTGGATCATGGTAGAGTACCGGTACCGTACCGGTATCGTTCTCTTCGGCCCCTTGGCCATTCTGTGGCCCTGGTGGAGGGTTGGCCTGATTTAAATGCCGGTCCTTGTATCATACTCGAGTATCGGGGCATCCTTTACCTGCTTGCATGCCTCCTCCCCCTGGTGACAGTAACTGCAACTCGTAGGGTACAATAACTGTCTAAGTCCCTGTGTGCTTTTTACCCATTCCCACACCGCTCTTTCCTAGACCATGTAGCAACACATTGAGGGCAGCTGAGCACAAGTCTCCTTCCAACTAAATATCCGCGAAGAAGGTCAAATTTGGATCAACTCAAAACAAAATACAAAACACCTTTGACAAGAGTCAAATCTCGAGCGAGGTAAGAATAAAATAGTAAAACAACCCCCATTGCTCTTTTTCTCTTCTATTTTTCGTTCCCATCCCTTCCCTTTCCCCACTGCCGTACCTCCTTTACTTTTTTAACTCTTCAGCGGTTTCGCCTTTTATTACTACGTACCGTACCGCTACCGGTACCGGCACCGCAAAAGAAGAAGGATTGAAGAAGAAAAAAAAAAAAGAAGAGAGAGAAAGGGAGAGAGAGAAAGTGGCCAGGAAGAGGAAAAGAAAGGAAAGAAGGAAGAAAAAAAAAAAAACGCCCAACCCACGTTGCCCTTACAAAGGCTGAACTACCGTACACTCGCTGCGAGAAAGAGAAAAAGCCCTTCCCCACTTTTCTCACCCCTTCATCAATTGTTCGTATCCTCCTCCCGTGTTCTTCCTGTTCCGTGGATTTATGATCACATCCATTCATTCCTGAAGGGTTTTTCAAAAAAAAAAAACTCTTCCCAAACATCTCCTACCATCATTTATACATCTTCCCTCTACTCCCCCTCGTCAATCCATCTCATGGCCGCCGCCGTAAAAGCATCCCCCCCTCATTCCTCTGCATCCTCTGCATCTTCAGCCTCTTCGCCAGAGCCGACGATGATGGCTCAGCAGGCCCAGTTTCCGACTCCCAGGCGGAAGGGTGGTAGAAAGCCGGTCTACGCAACCCAGGAAGAAAGGAAGATGAGGAATAGAGCTGCTCAGGCTGGTATGTCGATATCTTATAAGTCCTTTTTCTTTTGGACACACCAACTATCCACTTCACACTATGGCGTTGCTAGAATTCCTATGTGTCATGGGAAATATAGCCTATCTTTTGGAAATCTTCTGACACATCGAATTAGCTTTCCGCGAGAGACGAACCGAATATATTAAGCATCTGGAGGCAACTATTAAACATCAAGAGGAAAGCTTGTCTAGTTTGCAGCAATCATCACGGAATGCCGCGGATGAGGTGCTTATGCTTCGTTACAAGAATTCCTTGTTGGAAAGGATACTGTTGGAGAAGGGGATAAATGTCGCTGCCGAGTTGAAGGCCTTTGCCCAATATGACGACAGACCACAACCAGCCGCACCTCAGCCGATCCCGCGACCCATACCCTCTCAAGCTCAACAGCAACAGGCGACCCTCCAACAACAACAGCATATGCATAGACCAATGATGGCACAACCCCAACAGCAGCAAAAACGACCATCTGTTAACCCTCCGCCCGAGTCGCTATTCATCAAGACTAGTCCTATAATGCCGCCAAACTCGCGCAATAATTCGCCGTCGATTGCTATCCCTACACCCCCGGATGCGTCCGCGTACCAGATCCCGCAGAGTGTAGTCACGACACCTACGGCTCCTTCGGAATTTCAACACCCAGGGATTCCAATGCAGAATTTTTATCCCTCGCCTTACCAGGCACATATGGAAGAGCTCGGCAAGCTACCCCGCGTACTTCCCATATATCTTATGTTATGAAAGAGCCCGGCCATCCTAGGTTGACTCTGTTTGAATTTAGAGCAGGAATATGACGCCGAATTACTCGAGAGCACAGAAGACGACACTCAAAGCGGACTCGAAAATCAATCTGCAACGGCAGACGGGGTTGGCGGTGAAATGATTGGAGGAATGCTGCGGGGGTCTCCATTACAGCAGCATGGGATTTACAGTAATAATAATGTTAGATTGATCGATCCCTCATTCGAATCGATGTTTAATATGGAGCCGACTCCTCCGAGTAGCGTGGGTGGTCTAACGGATGTTTTCATGAAACAGTTTAACTCTCCTTTCGGTTTTACTGCAAATAATCTAAGATGACGTTGCTCTATCCGTAGAAGTTGCACGAACTATCAGGCAAGCTCCCCCGATCTCCGTACGAAGAGGACTCGGCCATCCTATTGATTTTAGGTGATCAGGGCTGGGGTTTCCTTCTATTGTGCTACATATTTTTTTATCGGCGTCACCCTTTTTGGTTTTTCTTTCTACGGTTTATCGGAAAAAAAAAAGTGATCTTTCGACCCTGCGCTTCTTTCTCCCTCTAGTGTACCGGCATCTATATTGCTTTGCTTCCAGCATACCACCTTTTGCTTTTTCAAGTACAAACTTAGCATTTTACCACTTTTTACTGCTCCATGTCGCCTTGCCTGATCCCCGTATCACCGACAAACCTGTACACTATTAATTCCTTGCCCCGATCGAAGTAAATATTCTCCGTTTGTCGGCCGGGCTTAGGCGGCTTTCATATTCTTGATTTTGTCTTTCCTTACCTAAATCTCGAGGTGGATCCATCTTTCTTAGGTTGGAAAAGAGTGCACGTGGCGTGGCATATATCGTGCGCGAGCTGAATGGTGCTCTGAAGAGGGCAAAAGGCGGATGGTGAATGGCGTATTTGGCTTCTTCTCCCCCTTCCCTTCCCTTTTTCCTCCTCTTTTTACTCGTTTTATTTGTGGGGGCGATATTACGGAAAATGTTCAAAAATCTTTGCTTTTGCCTTTCTATATTATGTTTTCGAGACGTTTCCCTATACCCTCTACTTTACTTGTCGATTCTAAAAAGTTTATTTGTTTTTTGGTACTTGCACTTGTATTTGTTCGGAAATGGGGGATTGGTTTCGGCTAGGCAGACCATAGGGACGGAAGGGGAAAGGGAAGGGGAGGAAAGGAGTTTGATTTAGTTTGTGCCAATTATGAAACAAGCTACCCTCTTGAGTTTTCGGGCATGATATATCCGGACCGGTTCTACTTTAGTGCCATTCGTAAAGTGCTTCCTTACCGCTCACTCTCGTTCACCCATTCGCACACTAACCACTCTACAGAGTGATGGCCCATGACCATTCTCTCGCGTGTTGATCCAGAAATAGTTCGGAAAGGATACGAAAAGACAACGTGGATTTCTATTTCAAATTCTCGAATCATCACTCCCCCTAATTTGGCCCGCCTTTTCCAGGAGCGGGCACATCGTGGTTTAGTTGACGCAAATATCATGATTTCTCACTCGTGATATCGGGTTCTGCGTTTGGGTTGTTCCCAGGATCTGGATCTTTTGGGGGAGCGAGGTGATATTAGTTTTGTCTCGTTAGTAGAGGTGATTGTTACTATAGGTATTTTTTCTGGTTTCTATTGATTTTGTGTGCTAATTGGTTCTTCTCCTTTTAGGCTCGAGCTGGGGGGTACCCCGGGAGGGAAGGTACGATGTCATACCTTTCTTCGGGTCAATTATGAATTTTTGGGGTGTAGGATAGTTAGGATAGGGGGAGTCCTGAAACTAGCTGATTGTGAGTATATCATATGGGGGGGTCAACGAATTAATCGGGGTTAAGGATGTTGCCATAGGTGGCGGAGATGGGTGGGTTTTGTTTTCTGTTTGGCACGGATGTCGTAGGAGATGGGATAGTTGAACTTCGCGTTATGACGCCCAGAGTTCCCCTCTTTGGATAAAGTGGGGGAAACACTACGAGAGGAGGAAAAAAAGGCTGCCTGTGAGCACGCCGCTGAGAAAATGTCATTTGAAAAGAAAATTTGAGAGACCCCTCTAGGAGAGGCGATTCCAAGGTCCTCGAGAGGGGCTCAATTATTCGAATTCTTCACACATATCTCTAGAGGCTACTCCCATCCTTGACCTGAGCTTTCTTGAGGCAGCGGGAGTGACTTTATAGCCTCTGCGATCCTTCAAAATGGAAGACAGTGCGAAGTTCTACTTATCATTACATATCGCTCAGTTGTTTTAGCACACACTATGCCTCGCACGAGGTAATCTACCGTAACGGTATCACAGCCACTTTGCCTTCCTCTGCCACTGGGTGGGATAGGCCGGTCTGACTACAGTCTACTATGCCCTGATTTTCTCGGGGCGGTTACATGAGTGGGCAGGGCCATCGCTTCATAGGGAAATTCACCGAATATTATCACTCACACCCTACTGGGATACTCCGCGGTGTGATACTCACGCTAGATGTTCTCATTCTTGTAGTCACGAGTTCATATTTTATTTGCACAAGAGTCCGGAAAGGCAGAGAGGCAGCGGAGGTATATTCATCTAACTCGAAACAGGTCCCCAAGGGAGGCAGGAAAAAGAAGAGAGGAAAAAAGAGAGAAGTTCTTCCCTCCATTCTTCCTCCGTCCTCTCGATTTATCCGCCCGTGCCCTCCTAGCCGATATCAGCGTACACCTGCATAGAAAACAAATGAGCACTTAGCTAAACATCTAATCTTGATTCTCAGCTTAATCCCCTATCGGAAGAAGAGGAAGCGGATCCATGGTAATCACTTCAGCCCTCTTCATCAATTCCCCGGTTTCTTCACAAGGCCCCGGTTCCGGGTTCGTGACCGGTGCTGCACAAGCGATGGTAGAGAAGGTGGAGAATACTAGGACTACGGGAGAGGAGGATGTAGGGGAACATTTTTGTTTTCGTTGTATGTGTCGAGGCCCGAGTTCAACTCTGGGTTTTTTGTATGTACGAACGAATGGATGTGCAGGTTGACAGTGGTGGTGGGTAAGAGCGGTATTACTGGAGGGAGGGGAGGGGAGGATATTTGGGATTTGAGGATTGCGTTACTGAGGATGTAAGGTGCTGGGATTTGTAATATTGTAGGAGTGATACTGTGGCAGAGTGGATGGTGATGTAGATAGATGGGTACTCGTGCCAAGGTTGGGGCACGCTGCCACAACCCCCGGTGCTCGCAAGCTCACAACTGGGGGCACTCTAAAGAGTGCCGGACAGCTCAATGGTACTCTACGGCTCAACGGCACTTTGTGGCTCACTATGGTAACTTTGTGGCTCAACAGTACTTTGTGAATACCATTTACAACCGGCAACTTTATTCAAACAATCAAGATGCTGGTTGACTTCTAGTTCTTGATTATATATATATATATATATACAGCCACTCGTCATAAGTGCTTGTGATCTAAGACCTGTTTAATTAGTCATGGCGCCATACCATGGTGGGGTACCGTGGTGGGGTTTGCTGGACAATGGATTATGCCTTTCCAAGATGGAAGGAAACAAAGAGAATGGGTTACCTATGCGGAATTCAAAGCAAACCTCTTTGAACAATTTGGTGATCCCAATGCCAAGGAAACAGAGAGAAGGAACTTGGAAAAGCTCCAACAGGGAAAACAGACCTTCTCGGCATACTGGAATGAATATCGACTATTGGAATACGAGGCAGAATTCGATGATGCCACTCTCTACATCATTCTGCTAAGAAACTGCGGTGAGAGACTGCGAGAAGCGTGGAGAATTTCTGACCTGCACTACACAATGTCAGAACGATTTGCAAGATGGGCAATTGACAAGGAAAGCAAACTGAACATGGTTCGGAATAATTCAGAAAACACCATAGCACATAGGATGGTCGGATTGTCTAGGAATGTGGATGGAACTTTTAAACCACAAGCAGCTCAGAGTGAAAGCAGGGCATTACTACCAGGTGAACAAATGGAATAGGACAAATTAAGAGCAGGACCAGTCCTGAACCTATCCAAAGAAGAATATGCTCAAAGGATGAACCAGAAACTCTGCTTAAGGTGCAGAAAAGCAGGACATCGGATACAGGAATACCAAAGATGACCCGACAATAGATACCAAGGGACAAAGGTGGCTGGGAACAATCACTTCCAATTTCAGAAAAGGAGCAACATCCATGAGATGATTGCTGGGGACTTATTGGCGGAAAATAATGAAGGTCCTCAGTAAAAGGTGGTCTGGGAGATCCAAGATACGGACCTGGAAAACCCATAAAGTTAGCAAACTACTATACGGCACTACATGCACAACATGGAGAAGGAGATGGAGATCATGTAATAATCAAGACAAAGATATACAATGAAAAGCACGAATAAACAACGATATATGAAATGCTTGACTCAGGGGCAACCGAAGATTTCATTGACAAGGAAATCTGCGACAAATACGGCCTCAATACCAAAGAAACAAAAAAAGTGAGACAAGTCTACCTAGCAGACAGGAAGTCAAGTGCAATGGGTCCTATAACACACACGGCGGAAGTACCTATAGACATAGACAGCCATAGGGAAATGGCAACCTTCCAGGTGGCAGACCTCAAGAACCATGAAATAGTCCTAGGAATGCCATGGTTATGAAGACACAACCTGATGATTGATTGGAATGAGAACAAAATGACCTTCACCAGTGAACTATGTGCAACACAATGCCTCAACAGTTCGCCAGTGGTCTACTCAACACTAATATGAGAAGTAGAAGAAGAAACTTTGCATACAAAATTCGCTGAGATACGGTAAGACAAGAGAGTCTGGATACTCAAACTGGACCAAGAGGCAAAAGTGCCTACCAAGGGTTCGAAGAGAGCAGCAGGACACAACCTATATACCAATGAGAGAATAAAGATACCTGCCAACAGGCAGGCAATGATTGCAACAGGGATAGCTATTGGACTATCAGACGGCACTTATGGACAGATAGCACCCCACAGTGGTCTAGCAGTCAAGCATTGACTCATGACTAATGTTGGAGTAATCGACACTGACTACACAGGTGATATCAAGGTTGTCTTGGCCAACCTGGCTCAAGAAGACTACAAAGTCTAGAAAGGCAATAGAGTTGCATAATTGATCATTGAAAAGATCAATGACGAAGACCTATACAAAGTAGATCAACTGGAGGAAACCAGAAGAGGAGACAAGGGGTTTGGGAGCCCGGACCAAACCTAGCCCGATATAACAGGAAGAATTGAGATCAAAGAGATCACAGCACAAGCCTTTGGAAGGTACTATCGAAGGGGAGATACAACAGGAATTCTCAAATGGACATACGAAGACGAAAAAGCAGTCCTAGCAAAAATCATCAGCACAGAGCTAGCAATCTAAGATAAGAAGTATCAGAGTAATAAGGGATGGAAAGAATTGATTTTAAAAGAATATCATCAATTTACGAATCTATTCCAAGAAGAGGAAGCCACCGGGCTACCACCCAGAAGACCAGGAATAGACTATGAGATTTAGCTGGACAAGGATGAAAAAACAGGAAAAACAAAGGAAATTCCCTATAAGAAGCTATATCTCCTAGGAGGAGCAGAACTCGAGGAACTCAGAAAGTACATTGAGCAAAACTTGAATAGGGGATAGATCAGAGACTCCTTTGCATTAGGAGGATCCCCTATACTATTCGTCAAAAAGAAGGATAGAAAAATGAGACTCTGTATCGACTACAGAGCTCTCAATTCAGTTATCAAGAAAGATAGGTACCCGCTGGCCTTAATTGGAGAAGCATTAGACAGATTACAGTCGGCTAAATACTTTACCAAATTGGACATCAAGGATGCATACCACAACATACGAATCAAAGCAGGAGATGAATGGAAAACCACATTCACCTCAAAATATGGAATGTTTGAATACCTTGTTATACCCTTTGGATTGACTAATACACCAGCTTCATTCCAATGATAGATCAACAAGGTACTAAACAAGTACCTCGATATATGTTGTATGGTATATCTGGACGATGTACTCATGTATTCGGAAAATATGCAACAACATCAGAAGGATGTCAGTGACATCATGGCTGCGATATAGGGATTAGCTATGAAGATCAAACTAACAAAATGTGAATTCCATAAAGAAGAAACCAAATATTTTGGGTTCATCATCAACAGAAGCGGAGTCAAGGTCAATCCAGTCAAAATGGCAGCAATATGGGATTAGGCAAAACTCAACTACAAAACGGA